TTAAAATGCATTACTTTCGTGGAAGACCTAATCAACGTGTTTCTTCGTGTTCTGTGATTAAAGTGGCAAGAGGATTCTTATCGTTTCTTGCTAATTTAATGCATCATTTTATCGCCGCATTTTCAAGGTATACTCGAGCCATTTACGTTTATTGCAATCATCTACGCTAAATTGTCACAAGAAAACCAACATATCTCGATTAACTCGTTTCTTTTTCTTTGGCTCAATTAATGAGCTACAAATTGATTAGGTTCTACTCTAATGGATGAAAAATGAAACGAAATTTTTTAAATGAAGCTTTCACTTTGCTATCCTATAGATATTATTAGTAACAAGTAAAATAATAATAGGAAAAATTCATATTCCACTTTTATTCAACGTATGAGTCAACCCGATCCCAACCAGACAGACACCTATGCACGCCTCCGCAATTCTGCATAAAAATTTCAAAAAGTCACCTGAACCTGCCTCAACTTTATCTACGTTTAACCATATACGTTGAAACTCTCATTCGTCGAGTAGGATACGTAAAATTTCAGTACCAGATAGTCTTTCCGGTTTTCGCGCAAGCTTCCAAAAGCGTGCAGAAAACCGCCTTTATCGATCAGGGGTTGGGCTAAGGAGGGTCGCAGGAAGTCTGTTCTTAGATCTCGTTTTATTGGTCCACCCACACGGCGAACCGCGTTCCTGGACAAAGGTAACGGGCCGGTGAAGCACTCGAAAAGATTTCCTCTCGGAAAAAGATCGTTCCTCTGGTTGAGACAGGGGCCGGGCAGCTGCAGCTGCCGTCCTAAACCTAGTCTTTGTACCTGTGCCAGGTTGGCAGGTGCTGAGACGAGATACATCTGCTATCCTGCACGTGTCTCGAAGGGATTTCTGCTTGTATCTGTGTGCGCACGAGCAGGTACCCGCTCAGGTTTTGCTCTTTCTATCCACGCGATGGTCAGTCGAAATTGTATTGGTATACACGGGCACGAAAAAGCCGTGGAACCGGTGTGTGCTCTCGATTGGAACCGTACATGGTGTGCCGAAAAAAAAAGAATTTCACGATTTAAATCACTCGCCCTGTAGTAGAGTGCTCGATTTCGTTCGTGTGTTTGCAATAAACTGAACATTTATTTCTGGAAAGACATCATGGAAAGTGGTTTTCAAATTAACGATATATGTATAGGTGAGATAATTACTATGTTCGTGGTATATTTAGAGTAGGATCTGTAGAATATTTAAATTTCATCCGTTTCTGTATATTATTGCCCGGTTTGCAAATGATTCTTGAAACACCGAGAGAAATCTGGAAACTTTTGAGACGCAGCTTGTGCAGCAAGGAGGTGCAGAATCTGATCACCTGCTATCGTTGGGTACGCGTGCGGCCAGGTGTCTCGAGAAAAATGGAAAAACGTGAGAGCCAGCAGAGATTAAGGCTCGACCCTTGGTATACCTAATGATAGGGTTCATCGGCACGGTTTCAACATCCTCTTTTTTCTGCTATCCCTCCGGCTCCGATACACGCATCTGTTTCAAAGGATCTTCAATGAGAGATTGAATTCCTTTTTATGGTCTACTTGCACGCCTCCTAACAGTTTCACGAGCCAGAGAAATTATTGCTCTCGATCGGACGGTGTAACGTTGTCTGGAAGAAACGTGTGTGAAAGTTGTTTTTTCTAGCGTGAAAAGTGTTATAAAAATTTCTCCTTTAGGACTGGCTACGCCTTCCTATGTTTGACCATATGATTCTTTTAATATCCTCTTGTTCTTTCTTATATTTGTATTTTCGTTTCACATTGTTTATTTGAAGTTTAAAAAATTTCACATAAGATTTACTGATTTTTATTTTTCAACTATAGTCTTATCTATGCTACGCGAAATAAATATCCGAACCTTTTGTAGAAATAAAAAAAGAAAACGTCGAAAGGCATCTGCGTGGTGAGCTCGTTATTAGCGGCAGGTGATACCAGCCGCAAGAAGAGAAAAATGCAAATCAGTGTCTGACACGGGACGTGAAAGTTGCATAATGCGTTCGTCCGCGGAGGTCGACACGGGCAACCTTGCAGTTTACATAAATCATCTTCGAATCGTTGCAGAAAAGAAAAAGCGGCTCGTTATGCCTTCCGTAATTGAGACACGTACGACGGAACGAGGAATGTGACGGAGGAGGGAAAAAGGGTGGGTGTCGAACGTTTTTTAATTAACGAATATAATCACGGCCTCGAGCGAAGACAATGGCTCGTGAAAGCGATTCGCGGGTATTGTCGAAGCGGGAACATCGATCGTGGGTCATTAAGGAAGGAAGGCTCGTGACTTTCTTCGGGTGCAGTCATCGGTGTGGAGTAATATCCCGTTCATCGTACTAGAACTATCTTCGGCTTGTTGATCTCCGAATCGCTCCTTTGTGTATCGTCCTGCCTCTTTTCATTGTGCATGGACATTTGTGGGCCGACGAGGGAGATTTTACGCGTCGATTATTTGACATTTCATTTTAGAACGGAGGGCGCTGATCCGACGGGCACAGCTCCTTTTCCTCGCTTAATTATACCTTTTCGGGTACTACACATTGTCTGATTTTGATTGCGATACTCGCTGAATTGAGTGTTGCGATGATTGATACGTTGATACTGATGGGTTTTATTACAGAGCTCAATTTCTTGTCTGGGTATTGTTTGGAAGGGTGTAATATTCACACCCATACACTTTAATAAGAATTATTAAGGATACAAATTTTACTCTTTCATTTTTATTTTTTAATCCTTTGAGAAAGCGATCCATTTTTAATTAAGGGATCATTTTGTTTCACATTGGAACAATTATAATTAAAGTTTATTATATACAGTATCGAGCAAAGTGGGCTTCTTTAGGGAAAATGTTGATCTAGAGGAAGTAGGAGTTTTCAAAATTTTAATTTTGACAATATTAATATGAAAAGTGATTTAGAAAGAAAATAATATAAGTTTTAATTATTGAATATTATAAAATTTAATACATAATTAAGAAACATGAATAATGCGAAATAAGTACTGTTAAAAGAGATGAAACGTTAATTTTTAAATTTCCTATGAACTGGAAGCTAGACAGTACCAAAGGATACTCCTTGCTTCATAGCTAAAACACGAGCAAAATTGTCGTCGAAGCACTTTCCACCGCTGAAGCATTCTTCTGGAACGTGCGTTGACCCGTGCCACAATGGCACAAGGTTGCTACAACGATTCGACATTGATAATGAAACGCAGGTACATCGAACCTAATGCCACTGCCCCGTTACATACTTCCGGGCGCGCCTAACTTCGTTTAGCGAAACAGTACACAGAAAGCAACGGAGAAGAAAAATTCCACTGAAATTTTCATTCGTTTTCATTTTACCATACCAATCGAGGGTTAATTCATTTAATAACTAGTATCGTCGTCTGCCAAGAAATTTTATGATTCGATGTGCTGCTTTAAATAGAAGGAATTTATTTAAAAAGAGAGAAGCAGCGATTAGATATACATTGCCTGTGTATACGAGGGATTGATTATTTTGAGATTTCTCATTATCTGGCAATGCAAATGATTACCAGTTTCTATGTGTGCGTCGAATAAATTGCATCTCGTTCCTACTGGATATTAATGAGAAGTCTTTAACCTTTCTTTGCTTAAACTAAACAACGTTCCTTTTGCAAAAATTGTAAAAGAAGCAATCGGGATGCTATATTTATCAGACTGTAGATATGTTTCGACACTTCGGGAACGCTTCGTTTACATATTTCAGTCTTCGCCGAGACATAAATCCGTTGTCTCGTTAATTTGAATTTGGGACCTGGCTACGAGAATTCCGTTACTTCTTCGACTAAAAGGCAAACAAGAAAATTTCCATCGGTGCGCCATTTTATGACGTGAAAGTGCGATGCATCTCTCCTTCGTCCCAATTTCAATTGTGTCCCAGATGATTTACCTGTCGTACGTAGACTCACGTCCTGTAGCAGTCATAATTTTATTAACACCTTGATGAGAAGGTGAAAACTACCGTGTCTACTATGGCACAGTTTAATAATTATGTATTTTCTAATGAATGAAACTCTTTCACTTCAAAATTTAAACTCCGCATGTTTTTTTTTTATAGATCTGGGTCATTGTTAACCAGGCTCCATGATTCAAAAATTAAAATAAACAATTAAATAATATACAGGGTAACCTATCTTAATTAATTGCGTTAAGAACGTCAGATTCTCAAAATATTGGAAATAAAAGATCATTTTTATCGTGTCTTATGTATCTCAGGCTTCAAATGGCTAAAACGGTAGCCATTCGCGCGTTAGTAGTTCTGTTAACTTTATCGTTCTGTTATCACGACGGTGGATGTGTGGCTCGTTGTGTGCAATGAGATACGCACAAACATCACACATCAGTTCGTAGCTGCATCCGCACACGTGTGGATACGCGAGTAGCATCCGAAACCACCCACGCGTCATCTTCTTTGTCTTCTATTACTAAATCGGTCGTTTCGTACGCGATAAGACGCAAATGAGACAACGTATAAATTAGAAGAGCCCTTAATTAACAAGAATAACCGTCTGTTCGCGTGATGCATACGCGTGTTAATTGACGCACAGTAAATGAACCACGTAAATGTCAGACTGACTTTTCGTTCGTTGAATGAAACGACGTTGAAGGTATATGGGGGTGGAAATGTAGGAGGAGATGGATATAAGAATAAATAAGTCGTTTGAAATTTTTCAAAGAATCTATTTATTTATTACTCGATATTTATAAAAATCATGCCAATTGATTTTCCATGATAAGAATTAAAATATTCATTATCATAGTGTTCTGTTTATCGAAGTCCATGTTTCTTCAAGATATCATTTGTTAGCCATTTCTTCTTAAGCAAGAGACGCCCCATTAATTGTTCCTCAGGTCTCGTATTTCACTGAAGATTTAACGACGCCAGGGTGCATCCTCATTATCATCGAAGATAAATATTGTTCACCCTCGGCATTGTCCTAACGTAGACCTATATTTCATTTCAGAGTCCTGGAACGTTGCATAAAGATGTCGGTGGTGCTGGTACCAAGGTCAGCGGAAAAACGGTCGGCGGTATTGGTACCGCAACCCTCACCACGCTCTCATCCATTAATAATACATCCAACACTAGCAGGAACAAGAACAATCCCGTATCTCAAGAGGTAAGTGACAATTATGAATACCTTTAATCCTTTAGCTATTTGCAGCTTTTTATATATGTAGTGGTTTCTTATTAACCTTTTTGCTGTGAAAACTAAAAGCAGTCATTTATGAATTACGTGTATGTGCACTCTGGAGTATGCACCGTTAATTTGGCAAAAAAATGCAAAAAAAATATTAATTAATACGCGAGAACTAGGGAACTCGTTGAAATGATGGATCATAGATTTGTTATTTTATATTACAAAAATTATTAACGTGTTTCTATCGTATACATTGACTTTTGTGGAGATAAGGAATAATTGCATGCGCTAATTTCTATCGCGTCTATTATTTAGTCATATTTCTATTTTATTTTTAATTTGAAAATAAGTGCACATTGCAAGGTGCACACTGAATTGATACTTGAATGGCGCAAAATTAATAAATATAAAATGTTGATATTAGTCTGGATGCAAGTCAAAGGAAATATAGAACTTGAAAGCTTCTTAACAGTATCATTTTGAACTCGGTCATAAAAGTATTCAGTAGCATGTACAAGGTGATACAAGGTTCAGAACATAATTACCCTCGATCGATCTCGTTGCCATGCACAGAATTGAGTAACTCGCCTTGACTTGGAACGTCTGCTGTTAAAAAATTGGAACAGGTCGAAGAGGTTCGACCACTTTCCATCGATCTCAGCGTTAATAACGTCAGTTTCAACATTGACTCCAAAATGCGTCACCCTCTCATGTAATCATAATTAAGAAATTTGCGTGAATCATTCCAAAAAAAGAAAAAATGATCGATCAAAATATAGAATAAAAATTATTTCATCGCAAAGCTTTCAAGGATTTAAACTCATCAAAGAAATGCTCTTATCAATGTTTCCACAATAGTAGATAAAGAGATATTAAACTAGAGAAAATAAAAATTACTAAACTTCTTATCTCCATGGAAGTAGTACTTCATTCTGAATATGCAATTACAAGAAACATAGCGTATCCTGTTTGTCCACGTACACTCGCAATCAAATCAGACTTCCTTACAGAAAATTACGATACAGAGGAAGCAGTACTTTCAAAAATTTTAATTTTGACGATATTAATAATAAAAGTGATTTGTAAACAAAATAATATAAATTTTAATTGTTAAATATTATAATAGTTAATATATAACTGAAAAGTACGAATAAGAAAGTAAATATTAATTCAAATTCTCTCGCGTAAACGTTTGTATACCTACATCTGGTGGGGGGTCACAGACATATATTTACATATATGAGGTCTCTTCTGCTATATTGTCATTTTCCCTGAGGACGCCTACAGGGAAGGGCGGAAACTCGGTACATCATTTTCCTTGAGGAAGCCTGATTTGGTCGCGAGTGTACATAGCATGTTCACATTCAATTTCTTCGTTGGTTGTCCGATGATGTAACAGCAATTACAACGAGTTAATTGACACGTGTAATCAAAACAGAAGAAACGAAGGTAAAAGGTACAAACTTAATTCTCGCGATGTAGGTGAAGGAAAATTAGGATTTCTTGATTAGCCAGGTTTCTCTTAATTATTTTCGTTCTTTCCACGAAACAACGTGATTCACTTACGTATATTCATTTCCTTGGTGTAACCACGATAAGATCATGCGTAACTCACCACAGTTTGAACTGATTAACAACTGAAAAGAGAGGAGAGGAAGTAATCGGAATGCTGTCGCCTTGAGATGTCGGAATGTCTATCTCTTTTGTCTATTCGCGATCGTGTAGCGAACTGGTCTTATGTAAACGATCAAAGATACTTTGTTAGTATCCTATGCTAAGCTGCTATAACGTAAAAAATGCACTTATGGTTTATGTTCGTGTGTCTGGCCTTGCTGCTGAGCTTAACTCTTTGAATACGATTTTAGTTGCCAACCTGTGAGAGTAGTTCCTCAGCATAATATCCATCATTGAAGTAATTAGGTGGGGTCAAGGAGGTATGATCCATCCCCAAAAAGATATGGACTGGGGAATTTCTCTCTTCTGAAATTCTGAGAATCTAAGGTTCTAATATTCCAAGGTTCTCAGACTTTAGGTTATACATTTTTAAAATTCGTAAATTCCAGAATTCTCAGATTTTAGATTCTAATCTAAAATTTCAAAATTCCAATATTCTCAGACTTTAGGTTTTAATCTTCTAAAATTCACAAATTCCAATATTCTCAGATTTTAGATTTTAATATTCTACAATTTCTAAATATCAGAATTCTAAGATTTTAGATCCTAAAATTCCAAGATTCCAAAATTTGAAGATTCTGAAATTCTAAGATAAGATTGAAGACTAAAATAGCAAAATCTGACTGTTTATTTTTCTATCACCCTGTATGTTACAACTCTTCGAGCTAGAAATTATCCCGTATTCAAAGAGTTGAAAACTTTCATAATTCTCAAATTCAGGAAAGGTAGTTGTATTTTACTTTTACCGATCTCGCTAATCCGTATCCACCAATTTTGCGAATGAAACTAGTATACATATTTATGCGCTTTCTACGTTGAATAGTAGACAGACTAGATGTGATACGTACAATTCGACGTTTCAGGAGGCACGGTTCACGATTTCACGAAATTGAAAGAGCATTTTTCATTTGATTTGTTCGGGTCCATCGGGTCTCCGTGTCCCTTTCACGGATCGCACAGCTGCACGATTGAATAAGCGTGATCGATGCGTACGCTTTCCAAACTTTCCAAGCTCAATAGAAACCACTCGATATTTTACTTTGTGTTGCTCTACCTGTCGATGGTAATCTAACAGGTAGAAACTGTCTATATTTATTTCAACGATGGTGAACCAAGGGTGAACGACGAATCGAGCGGAAAGGCTGAGTAATTTCTTTTTTTCACGAAGATTACATAATTTTCTCCACGTGACAAACAGGTGATCTTGAAACAAGGAAATGAAACAAAAATTTATTATTTTGAATAAGAAACTTGAAATTTGCAAATTGGAAGCTTGAAATTTAAAATTTACAAATTATTATTCTTAATAATTAGAAATTTTCAGTATTTCTTGCAACAAATTGTTGCTTTAAAATGTTTTCAAAAAGTACATTAGGCATTTGCTAATTCCTCGTTAGAAAAGCGTCACAGAAACAGAAGAACTGTAAACGAGGCACGTAAACCACTGACGCTCGATAATTCCCCGGTTTTAGAAGTTCTCGCTTCCCAAGCTCGAAATGAGGGGAATTATCGAGCGTTTACTGTATCTATCATCTTGTGGAAAATATCATAACGAATTAATATAATTATCATTTTATTTTTTTTAATGACACGTGAGGTTATTTGCAAGTATTACAACCACCATGGAAAAAAGTTACACAGACCGAAGAAAGTACTTCTTTTAATTGAAAATTCTAGAATTAACGAGATGCTCGAGGCTTTTACTGCCCTCTTTTACCTTAATGTTCAGCTGCACTCAACAGATTCTACATTCAGCGTTCTGCTCGTTTTCGTTATGCACCTCTTTGTTCGTTTCTTTCGTGGTTCTTTCCTTAAGAGATATTACACAAGAGACTTTCGAACACAGCGAAACATTCAGCTGGAATTACCTTCAATTCAGCAGACAGTTTAGTTAAAAACCGAGATATCTTGCCTGCTACATTTTGTTTATTAAGCGTATCACGATAAAGTTACGGTGCTTTAACCCTTGGAAAACGATGAGTTTGTAGTTTTTATCACGCACATTTCGAGCTGTGATAAAAACATCACTGTTGTAATTGTGTACGGTTATCGGGATGTAAATTTCACCGCAGCATGAAATATGCACACAAGTTCGATGTTGAACGTATTAATAGACTTGTTACGTTCTACGCAGTGTGTCACGAGCGTCATGCACCCATAAGGAGGCTTCGCATAAACCATAAACGTGCTTGGCACACTGTAACTCGATCGTCCGGCATTGTATCTCGGGTTTCGCGATAGCATAAATATGCTACCTGCGGAGCAGGCCCGATGTTAACAATCCTAGGTAAAAGTAACATAACGCCGGACAATTCAGCACGCTGGTTAACCTTTTCGCTGCGAAACACGTATATATACGTCCTGGAAAATTGTCATTACACAGGGCGTATGTAAACTAGCAACTTTTCAAAAAATTTAGTTAAAAAAATATAAGTAGTCAATTTTAATCGGTACACCATGAAAAGCTGACATTTCATAAGTCTACGTTTCAGTTAACTTGACCAGTTTTTAGTAACACAATTAGGGAGTTCGGAAGGGTGGAAGCGATCCCCTGCTCCCTCATTAACCCTTTGACTACTGAATATTCTAGGCTTAAACGTTCTGTGTGTACGAAATCAGAATTAAATCAATAATACTTACCACCTTTTATTTTATTTCTCAAATTATTTTTCATTTTTTTCCCCTCGTTGTTAATTACATCATTATAATTTGATAACATATGGTGTATAATTAATAATATGCATTGATAACTTTTATTTAATTATGATTAAGATATACAGGAAACAAACTATGAACGCATATTTAGTAATCAAAGGGTTAAGAAATTAAGCATTTGAAATATTTTCTAACATCTCAAATAACATTGACGGAATAAATTACAGAATGATAAAAATTAGTTTTGGCCCCCCTATGGGACAGTGTAGTTGGACCACTGCCATCGTTGTTCAAGGGTTAAAGACGATTACAAAAATCATCCACATTGTTGGGTTTCTCTGTAAAGCTGGTTCATATAACTTCGAATCGTTGAATAATGGTCGAGTTAAACGTTACTCCGTTATACGTATGTGGTCACGAGGATACGCTTTGTTGCGGCATACTTTTCGCAGTGAAACAAAAGAACCAACCGTGTACAGTAACTTAAAGCTTCTTATTCATCGAACGAAGAAGTATGCAATATATGCAATCACAACTTGTAATTCATCGAAGACATTTAACATTGACTTATACGACGGAGGGATGACTCTTCTCTAGCAATTAATCCTTACTCGGCGTACGATCATTAATCACTCGGTTAATTGGTGTTG